TCCAGTGCTCAGGTCCCCTCTGTTTGTGCTCTTCAAGCCCCCGGTTCGGCACCAGCCCCAGCAGTTCCCCTGCCAGCCCCCAGCCCCGATGTTCCCCCCACTCCCCTCCACAAACAGGAACAGCCTGCAGCCCCCAAACCTGCCTCTGCTGAGCCCCGGCAGTGCTGGGGGGGGGAAGGGATACACACCGGCTGCACCTCATCTCCTCTGGGGCAGAGGAGCATCGAAGCAAATTTACCCCACAGGCGCTGTAAGAATTGAATCAACCCCGGTTCCTGCTTACTGCACTGAGCCCAAGAAGTGCCCCCGCTGAGTGAAAAAGTAATGCTTGTGGTACTTCCTTCACCTTACCCCTTTGTGGATCTGAGCTGCAGGGAGCTCTGGACCCTCAAACCCCTTTGAATTCATTATTCCCCTGCTGCGGGCAGCCTCTGCCCGAGCCCCCCCATCTCCTGCAGGAGCCGGGGCACAGAGAGGAAAAGAGCTCTCTCCTTCCACAGGGCTGGCTGCCCCCGAAAGATGTGGGGAGGAAGATGATGGGAAGAAGGAGCCGGGGGAGCAGGAACCCCTGATTCAGAGGTAGTGCACCTCTAGCTCCTTCCAGCCCTAACGCTGGGCCATGGTCTGATTGTCTCCGTGAGCTCCTCTTTTTAGATATACACTGCTTAAATTTAACCCCAGCCAAGGTTTAGCAACTAACAGTTCACCTCTGTCCCCTGTGGTGTCAGGACATCAGAGCCCAGTGACAGTCAGTAAAACACGTGCAGAATTTCTTTCCCTGCCTCTCTCTCACTGTTTTTCATCTCTCTTCTATTTTCCTTTTGTTTTCCAGCTCTTTATACTTACTTCTTTTTCCTTTCCTCTCCCTCCTAACTCCCTTTTTGTCCCTTTTTCTGCCTCTCCGTTCCCACTCCCACTCTCCAGTGCCTCCGTGCTGCCCGCCCCCTCCGGTGTGTCCCGTTCTCACACGTAGCTCCCTGTTTTCTCAGACTTTGCAAATTCTCTTTTTTTTTTTTTCCAGACAGGAAGGCTGAGCCTTTGTGGGCTGAGCCCACATTTCCCCGAGTCCTCAAACAGTCTCATTCTTCGGCCGAGGTGAGTTTAAGCACAGGCGAAGGAGAACGTGTAACGAATGGAGTGTCTCAGCACGCTCCGGTTTGGTCGGTTCAGGAGCTGTCGA